TTCTTTGGGTTCATAGCTCCCCTCTTCGGCGCCATCTCTCAGATCCGGATGGGGACTGGTGGCGGAAGCACGCGTGGATGTGAATCTAGAAATGCGAGGGCTGAGGAGGATGATGAAATGGCAAAGTGGCAAAGGTGGGAGCGCGGGTGCGGTGGCGCAGTTATAAAGCACTCCCCCACCCTTTCGCATTCGAGGGTTTTTGGGAAACCGTTCCCACGATTTGTGTCTCTCCGAATTCTCAGCAACAGCAAGGTGGGCCGTTACCTGGGCTTTCGCGCAACCGCGGCCCGTATCGCCGATTTATCTCCGCAATTTGTTATGGCTCGCCGAATATTCGCCGACTTCTCCACCAATCGTTACGGTTTAGTAATTACTACTGTACAGCCATTACGCCGATATTTTCCCCGTGATTTAATTTCTCCAAGATTTCCTCTTGTGGCTCGGGGACTGCGTCAACACTATGTCTCGGTTTCTCACCGCATTGGGGACTTTCTCCTGTCGACCGCTGTTTCTGACCCTGGCACCACATGACCACGTCACCTACTGTCAGGCTCAACGACTAAGTGGGCACACTTCACCTTGAGGTGAATGTGCTTTTTCTCACCTCGGGGCTACGTCTGGGGACTGGCTGCCTGCTCGGCTGGTCTTTTACTATTCTTCTACTTTGGACCCTGGCACCACATGACTACGTCATCTACTGTCAGGCTCGGGGACTAAGTGGGCACACTTCACCTTGTGGTGAGTGTGTTTGCTTTAATCTGGAAGACTCCGTGTCTCTTGAAGCTGAAGAAGACTATCTCCTTTTCTCGTGGTCGGACTCTAAGTGGGCACACTTGGTCCACTGTGAAGAAATTTTCGATTGTAAATTTGAGCTCCTTACACCCTTATGGCAAGCCGTACTTGGGTTACACTGCTCGGCGACGGTTCACACTGCTCGGCGATGGCTCACGCTGCTCGACGACGGTTCACACTGTTCGGCGACGGTTCACGCTGCTCGGCGACGGTTCACGCTGCTTGGCAACTGCTCACCACTGCTCGGTAATCATCACGGTGGTCGGACCATAAGTTTGACTGCTCGGCTTTGTTCGCACCTGCTCGGATAAGCTCAAGACGGCGTTGCACAACGGGTACAAGGCGCTCGGGGACTAGCTGTGGGGGGTACAACCCCGGATACCCACGACAGACCACATGGGCTGCGCCCCCAGGGGTGGCCCAGCCCACAAGACGAAGCCTTGCGAGGCACGACGCTGCTCGGCGTCTCCCGCAAGACACCGGGAAGATATCCTGAAGATACTACGAGATCTGTTAGGATACGTATGATCCCAAGATTCCTTTAATCTGTTATTACTTTCCGGTTATCTCTCAGATCTAACCGACTTATAACCCTGCCCCCCGGACTATATAAGGCGGGCAGGAACCCCCTCCAAACTCACGTAATATCATACGATAGCCAATATAATCCAACAGACCACAGAAGTAGGGTATTACGTCATACTGACGGCCTGAACCTGTCTAACTCGTGTGTCTCTGTTACCTTCTTGTTCTTGATTACACGTCTCTCTATCGATCAATCTATCTTCGTGGGATACCCCTCGGAGGACTGCCGACGATATTCTGTTGACACTTCTTCTATTTTCTTTTTCTGGGATGGGTGAAAGAAGTGGCAAAACTGCTTCTTCTATTTTTCTTTTCTAGAATGGATGAAAGAAATCAAACCTTTATATTGGGTGTACGGTTGATTTATATGGTCTATTTCAATTTGTAATATGGTCGTTTGAAATGTAAAAAGATTATTATGAGACAAAAATGAAAATTAACATAATTAACGTTTTTCTTGTAGTTCAAAATTAGAAAAATACCCTGCGCGTTGCTACGGAAATGGTAGATGAAACTATACTATTTATATCTACTTATATAAACAAATAAATATCATAATACATGTTAGTGGATAATGTAGCACTCTACGTGGACAAATAAATATAAGTTAGAATGATGTGTTTCGGTGATGTGAATTGCTTTAATGAAGACAGATACTGATGTGGACTGCTTGCATGATAAGATAGAATATTAGTGAAGATTATAAAAATATAAAATACTAAAATAATACCCTATGCATTGTTGCTGGACTTTCTTATCTATAAAATTGTTGTTTATCACTATTTGCATGAGGTATACTGTCAAAACTAGTTAAGCTAATGGAAAAAATAAATAACACATTTAAATATTAAATCAAATTATAGAAGAATGTACGACCAAACCAATAGTACAATGTGGATGCTCTATATTTGATAGAATGAAAATATTAATTGCATTTAGTGGAAGGTGTTGTAGCACTTATTAGAGGTAATGACATGACACTTAGTGGAGTATGAAACATGGATAGTTAGATTGAAAAGATAGTGGGTTTGCTTTTATATATACCCGGTTACAAAATAACTTATTCTGTAGCTATTTTTACTAAGTGGTTTAATATAACGTTATGGTAAATATCCCCATGTGTTATAGTAACCCAACTATCGTAAATATGTATTGACATTATCGTAAATTAGTATATAAAATTATCGTAAACGGAGGTAGATACATAATAACTTATTTTGTAGCTGGCTACTGAATATACTCTCTCTCTCCCTCTCTCTCTCTCTCTATATATATATATATATACACACACACACACACAAAATATTGATATAGATATGGATATAGACGAGGCACTTAGTGGAGTATGACACATGAATAGTTGCATGCAGAGATCGAAAGGTAGTGGGGTTTGCTTTTATAAGAGATATAGATGTGGCTATAGATATAGACATAGATCTAGATGAAAAATAAGATTAAGTGATGGGTAAAATTAAATAAGATAAAAGAAAACATGGCCGATGATTAAGATTTTGGATATGACAAAGAGGAAATACATGAGGTAAAAGCGATAGTGGGCGTGGGTGGTGATAATTTCTGCGTAAATAATGTGAACTTGATGGGACTTTTATAGAAAACACGGCCGTGGTTCTCCGCTGTATCCACCATGTTTTGTTTCATAATCACGCCACTCTTGAGACATGATGGGTTGACGAAGAGAAGAGAAATAGAGGATAGGAAGAACAATGTGAACGAGGAGGAAGATTGAGTTGCGGCCTATATATGCATGTTTGGCCTCAACAGCAAGTTCTGGCGTCAATTTTTGCTGCCAACCCCAGTTTGGACGCAGTAGCACCAGAGGATTAGAGGGCATGCGGGAAAAAAAAGGCCAATTGAGTGGAGGGCAATGGCCATTTTCAGTCCGATGCTATTTAAAAGAAATAGACGGTATCAAGATGAAAAAAAGGATTGGAACAATATTGTCAGTAGTCTACTGAACTACTCAATCCATCCCAAATTGTAAGACGTTTGACTTTTTTGACACCAAGTTTGACCACTCGTCTTATTCAAAAATTTATGTAAAATATCACTTCTTTCGTCGTGGTTTGGTTTATTAATAAAAATTCTTCAAGAATGACTTAAATTTGACTATATTTGCATAAATTTTTTTAATAAGACGAGTGGTCAAACTTGGGGCCAAAGAAGTCAAACGTCTTACAATTTGGGATGGAGTAGTACTTCTCATCTAAAAAAGAATGAAAATCTTGCTTCAGAGGAGTTAGTAGCGGGGTTTTGGTTCACAAGCACACCATAAAAGTAGCTGTTTTTTGAAAAGCAGCTTGGTTCTACTCATTTAGTTGGCTTTCAGTTTTTTTAAAAGCAGATTTTTTTTTCAGAAGCTAAATCAAATACAGCCTAACCTGACGCACCTATCAATTTTGATCTTGAAAGTTTGAGACATGATGGGTCGAAGAAGAGAAGAGAATGGAAGACAAGAAGAGCAATGTGAACGAGAAGGAAGATGAGTTGTTGCCTATATATATGTGCATGTTTGGTCCCAACATCAAATTTTCTTGCCAACACCAATTCGGACAGAGTGACAAGAGGACACGTAAAAAAATGGCCATGTTCGTTTCGCTGAAATCTGACTTATGCTGATGAATTGTTGTGAGAGAAAAACTATGTTTATTCGCTAAAAAGTATTGCTGAAGTAGTGTTTCAGAACAGGGCGAAAAATAGAAGGCCAACTGAGTGGAGGGCAGTATGTATATTTCAATATGACAGTATTTTGAAAGAAATACTTTCTCTGTCTAAAATATACATGTCATATTGCTCAAAAAAAATATACATGTCATACGTCTAGAGTCAAACTTGGTTAACTCTGACCAAATATTTTAAAAAATATTAATCTTTATGATGTGTAATAAGCATCATTATATTAAACCTAGAATATATTTTAGAATAAACTTATTTGGATATTCAAGTATTTAATACTAATTTTATAATAAACTTATTCCTCTTCTCCCTCCCCAATGGCCCAATCCCCCGCCGCTGCCCGCGCTAGGGTTTTACCGCCAATCTCTCACTCGCATCCGGGCGCCCGATCGGGATGGTGGTGGAGGCGGGGGACAGGACGCAGTCGCAAATGCGGCTCAACCACGCGGCGGCGGAGGGCGAAGCCGGCCTCCCGCCGCGGGCCCTCCTCGGCGGGGCGTCTCGGCTCCACGCCGTCGACCAGGTCCGTCCGTTCCCGCGTCCTCTGGCTCGCTTCCGACTTTCTCCGGAATCTCATCTCGCAAGGCACCGACCGACCCTTGGCCGATCGCCGCACGTTTCCGCTCCGGTTTCAGTTTCGGGCTCTCGGTGTCGTCTTCCTCGTGCCTCACACGCTCGCCGCGCAGGCACCGCACCACTCCGCTTGCCTTTTCTGCACTCGCCTGCGCCGATATACTCACCCTCCACCTCCAGGATAGGCACTGGCATTACCGGAGCCCCCAGTATCGCACCGCGAGGTGGTGTTCTGTGTGCGCTGAGCGGCGGATTCCGGTTGCTCGCCATTCGGGTGGCTCCGTCTGGTGCTGCCCAGCGCTCCGGCGAACAGTTCGTGGAGTTGGGGCGGGGTGCTCCTCCTCTTACTCCTCACGATGGCGGCCTCGAACCTGTCGAGGGACGTGGATGGCCACGGTGACAACTCCGGTGGCACTTCGCTTCCTCCTCTGCCTCGGCCTGATAACGGTACGGACGGATTCCTCTCCCTCTGAACCTGATGTTCCGATTTGGGTGTTATCATCGGTAATCTGTTGGGTTGCGATCGGATTTGAACTTACTCGATATCTAGATCTAGTCCTTGTTCTTTGTTTGTCAGATGATTTGGATACCGATTCAAGCTCAGGATCAGTGTTATTACTGGTTAAATAAACTTGCCTGTTGCTGTAGGCTTTCTCATGTATATGAACTGTTCTTTCCTCTGCACGATGAGATGCCAGAAATGTTATCTTTGCATGATTATCACATCTATTGGGGATATCCATTTCTTTTTTGGGGAATAGGAATTGGGAGGGCACTGCAATTGCGAGATAGCAGTGTTGTACTTGTACAGGTGGGGATTCAAAACATCTATTCGAACACAGTCCTGTCTGCAACTCTGCACAGTGCATAGTATTTTGAGGATGCATAGAACTGCTAGTATCCGTTATGTGCCACGTTCAATTTCAAATATTGAAATGCTTGTTGCGCGCCATGGATTCAATGGCTGGGATCTTCTGGATCCATGGCTCACTTCGCGCCTTTCACGCCATCTTTGATTTATGTACTTTGTCATGTTGTGCACTTTGTCGTAACGCCTAGTTGCTTGTTCCGTCCTGAGTAATAAGTAACCGATGTCTGTTGACATATCGAATACGACTGCCAATGGAATTACTGACTACAATTGGTCCCACGCATGGTGTCTGTACCTTTTTTTTTTCAGGCAACAATATGACCTCAAAGTTATGATATGCTGTAAGACACATTTTCACTTTTTTCTTACTAATTATATTATCATTAAATGAACGACACAATGGTTCCTCTTGTGTAGGAGGTAGATACTTACCTTTAGAAGCAATGTTGCCATTTCTGGATCAAACTCTTGTGTCAAGAATTATGAGTGTGTCCCCATATTTAGCACGTGACGTGTATAACTGTCTGATGTTTCCTGCACACCCTTGATCCTCATTCATATGAATGAAGAGTAAGTGGAAGACCATCCATAAAATTGATGAGTTTATATCCTAATCTGGAGTGTTGTAAGAGGGCATAGCACCTTGCAGCTATAGGCTCAGAAGCTAGTAATCCTAGGATGTTGGGTTATATGGATAAGCTAAGTTTTACCCTTTACGGAAATGGTTTTGGTTTTAAGGTTAGGGTTTTCCTTATCATTCTGGATAACCACATGATTTGTGCGAATTTTGGGAAACTTAATGTTCCTTGCCCACTATGATTTTATCTATCTTTTTCCGAGCTATTAGGATAAGCACCCAACTTTAGGTGTTGGAACCAAAATAAAGTTACAGCACAACATCATAGCACCAGAACATCAACATAGTGGGAAATTGTTCTTCTAACAGAGCAAGCACGTGAAAGATAGAACCTTGGGCTTGTTTCTTGCCATCATACCTTTTTTCTTTTCTTTTCTTGATCTTCTTCCTTTGAACTGCATTTCGATTTTCCAGTTTCAGTGTTGGAAATTGCTCATTGCCATTAATTTCTTACATCATGGCTGCCTGGGTGGGTTTCATTAGCTATTTCAGTGTAATTGTCCACTTTTGTTTCTAAAATATTGGAAGAGTTTGTTGTAGTTGTTTATTTATCATTTTTTAGAACAAAATGGTCTGCACCATTTCTCAACTGAAACAAGCATTACTGGTGCAGAGGTCAGCATATCTTGGAAACAACAATCCCTTCTGGTAATTAGAGAGCGGCACACGGCCAACATGTAAAGCTAGCACCGCCAATGAAATTATAATGACAGGACATCATCTTTTTGTTTTCTCAGATATTAATGTAACAAGCACAAGAGCTTGTTTGGCTACTTATCTGTCTAGACGACACCTTGAGTGACCACATAATAGCTTCTAAATGCATCTTTCTTTATGGATCAATTCAAATATTTGCTGCAGTCATAAACATGGATGATTGTAACAATTTTTATCTCTGGGCTATTTTGTTTACTGAACTAATTTTAAAATTTCAGTCTGGTATCTTCCAAATTCGCATGGTGGAATACTAATCAATATAGCTATAAGACAATTCTATTTATGTTCTTCCAGATTGCTGAATGCAATACATCAGGGAATCTTTTGTCTTTCTGCATTGCCATTCTGCTACCATGAATTCTGATACCCATTTTTTCATATGCACAGGAGACAATGTCCGCCCAGTCCCATTGTGGGAAATAGAATTCTGCCGTAACGCTTACGACATTCCCTGGGAGACCTTCTGCGAAAACAAGCAATTTATTGGATTATACAGAAACGTCATGGACTGGGATGATTCAGAAGCGTTCAAGAATTTCGAGGAGGCAAAGGAAAGGTTCAGGGCAAAATATTTTGGCGAAGGTGGACCAAACAACAGCAACAATAACTTCCATGGAGGTGGATCATCTAGCAATTGGCACCAGCAGGGGGTGGATCCAGGCCACACGTCATCCGGGACTGGAAGGATGCTGATCGGCGGTGGCACGATGTGGATGAGTGGCGCCTTCACTGGCGGTGCCATGAAGTGGAATGGTGGTGGTGGCAGAGGCAATGGCACTGGCAGGAACTGGAATGTTGGCAGTGGCGGCAGCGGCAATGGCAATGACAATGGCAGTGGCAGGAACCGGAATGGTGGCGGTGGCAGTAGCAGCAATTGGAATTGTTTCGGCCGCGGCAATCAGAGGAAGCAGCACGAGGGGCAACACCAGCTGAGGAACGGCGGTGGCATCCAGAGGAACCAGGAGGAGGGGCGGCACCAGATGAGGAGCGGCGGCCAGCAGCAGCAGGGCCAGGGGAGGATGAAGATGGAGTGGCGTCTGGTGCAGCACAACAGGGCTCCCAAAGATGACCCTGCCGCTTGATCTCGCAGGTGGTTTGTTTGTGCAGCCTGTGTTGGGCTTGGCTGCTGCTGGCAGAGGTGGTGCCCGTAAATACAGAGGATCTGCTGCTGGCAAACTTAGTTTACTTCTGGGGTAATGTCATTATGTTATAATGTTAATTAATGTGGGAGCATGACAGTTCGGTGCAAAAATAGTCCATTACTAACTCTGTTCATCTTTTCAGTGTAGTGTAGAACGCTCCGGCGTACGGTCCGGCTGTTGGGACCACGCCGATCCGCACACAAATCTTGAAGCCGCGACATCAGGAGAGGAAAACCAATTTAGCGAGGCTCCAGCTCCTTAGAAAACAACTTCGGCTTTTGACCATTGGTAGTGCTGAACTCTTTTAAAAAACATGTGGCAAAATTGCTTCTTCAATTTTCTCTTCTGGAATGGGTGAAAGAAGTGGCAAAACTTCTTCTGTTTTCTTTTTGTGGAAGTCAAAGTTTGAAGTGGGTGTGCATACGATTTATATCAGTTGTAATATAGTTGTTTGAATTGAACAAAGATTATTATGAGATAAAAATGAAAATTAATCCATAATTAATGGTTTCCCTGTAATTAAAAATGAGAGGAAAAATGATTAACCGATGATTAAGATTAAATAAGAGTAAAAGAAAACATTGACCAATGATTAAGATTACATCTCTACTCAAAACTATCCTAGGTACACAAAAAAAATGTCCTCGCTGAGGAGCCCAACCATTATGCACTAAAAAAAATTATACCCAAGAAATCATCTTCATTAAAATCAAAGTGCTAACAACCATCATTCAGAGGCTTCAACTAAATCTAAGGGCCACGGTTCTTTGTATCAACGCCAGGCTTCAACGCTCCTACCCCCGCATCCGCGCGCAACGCCTCAACTCGTTCAGGGTTCGATTCCCTTCCCCGCTCCCGCCGCCTCTTTTATTTTCTTCTGAAAAAAGAAATAAACGTCCGGCTTCTTGGAGCGCGCGGGAGAAACTTGTGGCGGCGTCGGGCACGCGGGGGAAGAGAGAGCGGGAGAGTTGGGCCTACGAGGTTGGCGGAGCCGCTGAGGGCCCGAGGAGACAACTAGGACGACAAGCATGCGGGGGAAGAGAGAGCGGGAGAGTTGGGCTTGCGAGGTTGGCGGAGCCGCTGATGTCCAATGACGGAGCCGGGATTTGAACGTTGGGTATTCCCTTGGTGAGCCACTGCTCAGTCGCTGCCTCCAGCCTCCTGACCGCTGCGTGCCAACGCTGGCCGTCGCGTAGACGCAGCCTTGGCATAGAGGCCACGCTCTGTCGGGAGCCTCGGATGTCGGCAATGCCGCCACCACATCGCGTCCGGTCGGCTAGGGTTAGAGATTTAGGAATGGGGATTATAGAATTGCCTCGTAGTCATGATTCGCTCACTCGCACAAGAGAATACTTTGTTATATATTTATACATACTAGTAGTAAAAAACGGATGAAAGAATTTCTTCTCTATTTACATGATTTGTGTTGCCTTTAGGAGTTCTAAAAGAAATAAAGATATACTTGGACTTGATTTCCACGGTGATACATGCTTCGACGTGACAAGGAGCTTGGAAGCAAGATATGATATGGACTTGGATATTTGATGGGAAAACTTTTGAGTCAATAAGTACGTGGATTGAAAAATAAATAATTAGGTTCTGATTTGTAGAACAACAAAACAGAACAGACTCGGCAAGAAACAACCGAACAAACATAGAAACTGATGGAAAAAAGAATATAGGAGGGATAGACTAGGCAAAAGAAATAAGAAAGAAATTTTAGCTTTTTAACATAGAATATATAAATATATTTGGTATAGTAGATATAGATAAGTATACATATATATATACTTAAGAGTACACAAAAAAGTTGGGTATTCCTGACGTCGAGTCGCAGGCGAGCTCAGCATGTCCGGCAAGCTCGGGCATGGGCATGCGATGCAAGCTCGGGGTCGGAGAGCCGGAGAGGAGTGGCCCCGCTCGAACAGGCGGCCGGCGAGCAGCAGCCACGACCAAGCGCGCAGCCAAGTAGCCGCGCGTCGGTCGAGCAGCTGCCGCGGGCCCGCGGCAAGAACGGTCGAGCAATGCAAGCAGCATCCCAGGAGAGCGCGTCGGCGGCCGAGCAGACGAGGTAAATATGTGCGGGCACCTTGCTTTCTTGCATTGCTTTGCTTGCACGGCGGCCGGGCGGCGAGCGCACGGCATGGGGCGTAGTGATGCCGCGTTCGCAAGTGCTTACAACACGCTCGACGAAATGACTGAGAGGTGAAAGAGCAAATACCTTTTTGTCCGAGTAGTTACTTAAAATATTACTGTATTTAATATAGAGGGTTAAAACAAAATCCATGTGTGGCGTATAATGCTAAGTATATTTCTAGTGGGTTCGTGAAAAATTATGCAGATGGTGGAAACATTTTAGAAAGCGTCGTCTTGGATGATAGTGTTTATTTTTCTTTTTGAAAGACCTGGTAACCTGCGGTCAGCGAAAATGTTGTCCTGTTTTTGTTTTGAGAACCTTGGCCTTTCGGGCTCGGTTTCCATGGCTCTGCGTGCTGCCCACTCTCCAGACCACTCCTCTCCTAGCCTTCTACAGCTTTACGCTCGGCGGAGGAGTGGAGACAGACGGAGGAGATCATGAAGGAAGCGAAGGGAACCGGGGTGGCGTAGCCTCGCGGGCGCGAGCTCCGCTGCGAACTCACCCTCTCCTTCATGGCAGGCGGCGAGGCCCAGTCGAGAAGAAGAAGGAGCATGCCCTGAGGCTGACGAGCAAGGTCCGCTCGTAAGTGAGAAAGACTAGCAACAGTTGCTCAACCAAACGCACCCGAAAGCAGGGTCAGGGTGCTGCGAAATTTATACTAGCCAAAAGCTGCTTTTGAATAAAGAAACGGATAATAGAAGAATAGTAGATTTTTTCTCTCACCACCCAGAGAGGCTACACATGTTTTCCTAGCCTTGTAGAACTGGTAATTTCTCATATGCAACTCTCTAGAATGTATGAGCTATGAAGGCGCTGGATTTTTTTTAATCAGAGGTGAGACCTTGCTTCTTATAGGTGCATATACTCTTTGAATGCCACTTTTTGCGATGAAGATAACAACATAGTGCTCGTTTGGGGCTAATGGCAAAAAAGTTTCATGCAATGTCTTGTCGTCGTAGCGAAACACTGAACTTCCACTGCTACAAAAAAAAGCTTTGACAGAACACAATTAGCTAAGTACTTCAAATTTGATAGAATTAACTCTGAACTTAATGGGACCTGTAGTGTTAGCACGGGCCAATATATTAGTACGAGAAAGAATCAAATACATGGGGAAAAACGATAGTGAAAGAGGCCTGAGGGTGCTAAGGGTGGTGATAATTTCCATGTAAATAACAATGGTAATGCTTTCCAGGGCGTCCGTCCTATATCCGGATGTTACGCCTCGCTCCGCTCGCTGCTGTGGCCTTCTCACACCACGTGCCCCACCCTGTGCCGCTTGCTCGCTTGATCCTTGCTCTCGCTCGTTCGCGCGCCCACCTGCGCTGCTTGCTCCTCGCTCCTCTCCCACTCGTCGCGCGCCCCATCCGCTCCTTGCTTCAGCTGTGCGCCGCGTCGCCCGCTCGGTCGAGCCAAGGCCGGTGTTTTTGCTAGTGGTGGTGGTGGTGCACCACCGCTTGCTGCTGGATCCCACCCCGACCACCGGAATTGACCTGCCCGGCCTTCTCCTCTCCTACGTTGTAAATGTATGATTCAAGTGCTCAGATGTTTCAGAGGTATGTTGCAAAGGTAAATTGGGATGTTGCACATATTGCATATTTTGCAAGTGTTTTCAGAGGTATGTTGCAAGCGTTTGTTCAAAATATTTTAGACGTATGTTGCATCAAGTGTTTTATCTGGATGTTGCATTTGTTTCACACATATATTGCAAGTGTTTTATTTAGATGTTGCGTATGTTTCACACACATGTTGCAGGTGTTTTATCTGGATATTGCATATGTTTCACGCATATGTTGCAACAGTATGTTTCATCTGTGTCAGACGTATGTTGCTGTAAGTGTTTCACGGGGGTACGGTGAGTGATGGGTGCACAGCCCGGGAGCTGGGGGATGGGGCATGCGAGCTAGGGCTGGTGCACGGGGGCGCAACGAGCTTGGGGCGGGCTAGCTCCTGAGTCTCTGTCACGCGGAGAGAGAGGGGTTCAGGGGGAAGGAGTGGGGCGCGGCGATGGCGCAAGGTGAGCGTGCGAGGCGGGGGCAAGGCGGACAGCACCGGGCTGTGCAGCTATCCGAACACGAGGAGCGACGGGCACAACATCAAGGGCGGGGTGCGCGTGCGAGTCGGAGTGAGGCGGGCTGCACGGGCATCCGAACGTGCGTGTCCGTCCAGACATCCGGGCGCTAGCTACACCCAAATAATAATGCAAACTAAACTTGAGGGGCACTCTATTTTTCTAATACTTTTACCTTCTCATGGTCTGTCTCTCTATCTCCCTTCTCGTTTACTCGGTCCAATCCCTTCCTCTCCACCTTTGAACTAGGAACAACCCTAGTGAAAGCTCTAGTTTGGTTTTGGTTAATTGATGAAACTCTAAGTGCTAACCTAGTTTATCAAAGTGATTATGAGATAGGTAGCACTACTCCAAGTGATGAAGCAATGGCAAAGATCATGACGACCGTGATGACATGGTGATGATCAAATGCTTAAACTTGGAAAAGAAGAAAGAGAAAAACAAAAGGCTCAAGGCAAAGATATAAATTGTAGGAGCTATTTTATTTTAGTGATCGAGACACTTAGCGAGTGTGATCACATTTAGGATTGATAGCCGTACTATTAAGAGGGGTGAAACTCGTATCGAAATGCGGTTATCATAGTGCCACTAGATGCTCTAACTCATTGCATATACATTTAGGATCTAGTGGAATGCTAACACCCTTGAAAATATTTGTGAAAATATGCTAACACATGTGCACAAGGTGATACACTTGGTGGTTGGCACATTTAATCAAGGGTGGTGAAGTTT